GGAGGAAAAACACTATCAAGGAATGAATAAAATATCCTAAAGCAGAGAGTCGGCCACTATTCCAAATGACTAAACGGCAAGTCAGTATACATGTGTAATACACCAATAAAAATCCAATAAATATTCATGATACAACTAAAAAATACACTGTACTTTAAATACCTAAAAATCGTATAAAAACATTAACCAAAGGAAAATTAAATATCTGTATCATACATTCGAAATACAAAGTTTCTTTGAGGTAATCAAAGGAAAGCAAACAAAAATGATCTCAAACAATGATTAAAGAACAAAAATCAGAATTGACATTTTACTGCTATAAATTTCAGGGTTCATTTGTTAAAAAAGAATAAAAATCAAAGAAGCACTGTGAGAATAAATTGGAAGACAAGGCATAAATTGCTGATATAAACCAAAATAGCCCAAATTTTACTGTCACATTTGTTATCTAGTCCAGAAAATCATTTCTGTGTTATCTCTCTATATTCACAAATAAATAAATAATTACGTGAACAAATGCCACGAATGCATTTTATCCCTGCAAATCCTTTCCATTAAAATGTGTCATGCCTTGAACTAAAACTTACTTTGAAAATAATTTTATATTGAATGTCACTTCAGTACAAGGGTAACTCATCCATTTAAATAAACTGGTTAAACAGTAAGTAGATGTGTAAACTGGGAAAGGATACATTCTGTAACCTCTCTGGATGGGTGTTGTCTAAATGAAGGAGAACATACATCCTGTCACAAAGGCGCACATCAGGAAATTTCCCAAAGGAACCCCTCCCGGAATCTTTTCTTGTTCAAATCAGTGCTCATTTCCCTCCTGGACTCTGAACTCACACAGCCAAACTCACAGAGAAAGGTTACACTTAGTACACACTATCACTGCATACCCAGGCGGGTACCACAGTAGGTACATTGCAAAAGCAACCTGCCTTGAAATGAAGAAGGAGCAATTCTTACATGATGTCCAGGAATCATGTTTGACAGAAAGCTGTATAATTTTTTTAATGTTACTCCAGAATGCAGGTGCTAAATAATGCCTATAACAGGCCATATTGAGGATGAGATGGGCTGTGTTAAACTCTACTCAAATATCTGACAAAAAAAAAAAAGTCCACACTACCACCACATTAGCATTAAAACTGGTTGACTTTACATTCCCCCCATCCTCAGAAAAAAGCATAGTATGTTATTTAAATACACAGTATGTAATTAAGCATCTATGTAAGTGTAGTTCCTTCTTAGAAATTTAGGCCTAGGCCCTCCTGACAACCCCCCAGAGCTCTAACTCATAGTTGCTGAGAGACCCGGCGCTGTCACCTTTCAGGCAAATAGGGCTGGTTAAGAAGACCTCAAACGCCCTGTTCACAGCTGAACAAAAACACATAAAGGCTGTAAACAAGGCAAAATTAAAAGAAAACCTGGCTCTTAAAGCAAATCTCTCTAAAACACATGCTTTCCCCCTTAATCGTATACATTTCCCTTGCCCTCACTTTTTTTCTTCTCAATCTCGAGAATTCAAAAACATTCAACCGCATGTTAGAAATAGGACAGAATGGGGGTGGGGGAGCTTCATTCCCTGAAGACCACCTCTTCATTCAGCTCTTTGCCTTCTGTTCTTTATAAGTATGTGCACATTTATCTAACTGGGTTTCAAAATGAAGACATAATCATGGCAAGTGAATTAACCATTTGTAACTCTTTTCGATCATTAAATTGTGTTCCTGCTTGTTAATGATCCAGTACATAAGCAGTTCAGTCCCAAAGGTAATTGGTTCCTTGAGCCGGCAGATGGAATGGTCCAGATAAGAAAAAGAAGTCATGCTTTGCAAAGCCGAACCCATAATACCATATTCTTTTCTTACAGAAATGTTTGAGAAACATATTTGCTACACAAGGAAATAAATAGAACACAAGTGCATACGTTTTTCAGGCCTGTTAACTGCAAAGCTGTTCGCTCTTGTACCACAATAGCTCAGAGTTATGTCACGCTGCTCGTATGTAAACCCTGATGGCTTGATCTCAACATTCTCTCAGAGATAATAATCAGTAGAATTCCTATTTGAGAAATGACATTTTCTTGCTGAGTGTTAAAGTGAAAATGTTTGGGGGGTTTTTTGGTTTTTTTTTTTTTTTTTTCAGAGATCAGAGGGAAATTTGTTGTTCACTTCCGTTTTTTCTTCAAGCCTAGATTTCAAAAATAGGAAAACGCTGTCCGTTTTTAACAAAAAGGTTTCTATTTGTTTCCAGGAGAGTAACGGAGGCCACACTGGTTTTCAGTAGTAACTATTGTGAATGCAGGCCTCCATCTGGGTTGCCTTATTAAACAAAAGACACTCGTCGCTGTCAACAAGCACACAGCACAAGGCTCCTTATCCCTCATCTTCATCCGGCAGGAATGGTGTAGATGAGAAACACGCCTGCCACACCATCCCTGGTCGAGAAACTCTCCTGGGGTCCCTCTTTCAGTGGCCTAGTGGTTATAGAATGGCACTTGGGTGTCACATTTGGGCTTGCCCTGCCGCCCCGCCCCCAAAACATAAGCCCGGTTTCTTTGGAGGGCCAACCTCGGTTTCCTTATCCCACTCCTAGGAAAATGCAGTCGCCAATCTGCACGGTTCCACCATTCCCTGCTGACCCCATAACACACGCTAATGGGTGCTCACTGGCCACCCCACGGCACGCCACCCCCCAAAGCATCACGGCTCCGCTCTCCACCCTGGGGGCTATATACGGCTCCCCGCTCCAGCCCTGGAGCTTCAACCCCTCTGTCTACCCTTCCACCCCCGTGCCTGTCCCCACAGTGATATGTCATTTAGTAGAGGCACTGCAAGTAACGCACAACCCTCCGGGACACACCGAGGCACCGGGCAGGCGGCCCCGACCCCACTTTGCGCGCGCGCGCGTGTGTGAGTGTGTGTGTGTGTGTGTGTGTGTCCGCGCGCGCGCGCGCGAGTGCGGGTGGTGGCCGGGGGGCGCGCCTGGGAGGTCAGGGGCGAGCCACAGGCGCCGGGGGCGAGGGGCACCGAGGGCAGCCGCCCCACGGGCTACACGGTGGTGGGCGTAGGGGCGCAGGGGTCCGACCAGAGAGCCCGGGCCCGATCCACACTCACCGAGCAGCAGCAGCTTGAGCTCCCTGCGGGCGTCCCGCTTGTCCCTTCGGAGCTGCCGCTCGATCTCGTCGTTGATCCGCCGGGCTTCCTTGGCCTCCTCGCTCAGGCAGCACGCCATGATGGACTCCAGAGTCATTCTTCCAAAGTGCCTCCGCTGCAGCCCCGCCGGCACCCCCTGCTCACACGCGCGCACACACACCCTCCCGCCCTCGCTCCCCCGAGGCAGCGGTGGCCGCGGAGCCCCCGCCGCCCGGGCGCGCGTCCGGGAAGAGCTCGGGGAACCGCCGCGGGGGTGGCGGCCAGGGCCGGGGCCACCAGGCGGGCCGGGGGCTCGGCGGAGCCGGCGACTTGGGCCGCCCGGAGGAGCGAGGCGGGAGCAGGAGGCGGCCGCGGGCGCTGGCTCGGGGGGGCGCGCGAGAAAAGGCCGCCGCGCCCGGCCTCGCACAGACGCCCGCGCCTCCTCCTTCCCCGGGAACGGGCGGCCCGCCTCGCCCCCTGCTCCGCCGCTGTCGCCGCGCCTCCCCTCAGCTATACGCCCCCACGACGAGAGCACATCCACCGGGGCTTTCACGCAGCAAGCGGCCGCCGACGGCTCCCCGCGCCCGGCCGCCGCCTGACACGGCTCCCGGGCGCCCTCGGCCCTGCCCGCGCCCACCGCTCGGCTGGGCTCGGCTCGCGCGCAAACCCGGCTCGCCGGCCGCCGCGCGCTCTCCGCCTCCGCCTCCGCCTCCGCCTCTGCCAGACGCCCACCCCCGGCCCCGATTGCCAGGCGCGGAGCGGCTGCTCAGTGCGCGCCCTCCCCCTCGCCACACACACACATTTTCTTCTTTCTCTGAACTGGAGCACAGATCCGGGAGGGAGGGAGAAAAGCGGGGAGGGCGGCGGGCAGAGGAGGGAGGAGGAGGAGGAGGAGCGGGCGCGGGAGGAGGGGAGCGGAGGCGGCGCCGCCCGGCCCCTCCTGGAAGGCTTCCCTGGGCTCCAGCCGCCGCGGCGCGCCTCCCTCCCGGTGCGGCTCTCGCTTCGCCCGCGCGGCTCCCGGTTGGGACTGCGGACCCCTCCTTCTCCCGCGCCCTCGGCGAGGCCCGCGGACGCAGCGGTCACAGCCGGCGGCGGGGCGGCGCGGGGCCGGTGGACGGCTGCTGCTGCGGGCCCAGGCTGCCGCCGACCTGCGGCTGCTGGCTGGCCGCCCGGGCGTGGTGAGGCGGGAACATGGCGGCCTGCGCCTTGCCTTTCAGCCCCCGGCCCCCGAGCGCGGCCTCGGGCCACTCGTGTCTTTCCCGGTCCTGTTTTTAAAACGCCATTCGGCTAGACACGAGCTCATGTCGCCTCTGACCCCAGATCAGTCTTCGAAAATAAAATAGTCTCCATTGTGGGACACGACCAGGAAAGGAGGATTTCACTGCCTGTCCCCCCACCAAGGATTAGGGACATTAATAGGGAGACTGTCCTCAAAGTTGCTTGAGATAGGAATCTAAATCCTGAGCAGAAAAATGAAACTGCCCAGGTTCCAATGAGCCTCAGGATAGCGTCCAACTTTTGCATGCCACTGAGGTTGGTTTTGTTTTGCTTTGTTTGTTTGTTTGTTTTACAAGTTCTGCTCTTGTCTTTGAAAAGGCACACGGAGTTTAACAGCCAAGAAATCGAATTTACCCTTCTAAACCGAGACTGAATTAAGGATGACTTCTGGGAAAGTGCAAACCAGTGCGAAATAAAAGCGAAGGAAAGAATGAAATAGAAAAAAAGTGGGGAGACCAAAATCACTGGAGGAAAATTCTGTTCTAGTTGTCTGGATTTCCACTTCTGATTAACTCAGTTTGCTAATAAGTAACAACAAAAGAAATCTTGTTCTTTAGGGTTCTATTTCACATAATAGCTACGAGAGGTGAGAATTGTTTTTGCTTCTTGCCTTCATGGAGTCTGAGGCCTTCAAAGTAAATTGTGTTTTATGAAGACAGTCTTTTTTCACGTTTTATGTTTTCTCTGAGCTGTCCGTGGTGCATCCTGCTGAGCCAGACTGCAATGCAAGGTCATGACTGTGTGTACTTTTGCTACATACGGATCGAGAGCTGGCATAGACTCTCGGACTACAAATATGTGTCTTCTTCCTTTCTTTGCCTACCCCAACCCTAGACACACACACACACACACACACAGCCAGGATTTAAATCAAGACAGAAAATCTTTATTTTACGATCTGTTTTTTAAAAGGATAGACGGCCTTAGAAAATGATTAAATTTCACCTTGGCCAGGAAAGCAAAGAAGACATACTCACCCATTTTATGTGAATACCTTCAAAGAGCCACTCGACTTGTTGTGAAATTAAAATTTTAAATTAAATGACTAAAGAATTTAAAGACTTAATTCAATATGCAGAAATGTAAAATGGCTTCAGAGGAAAAGTTGTTATCTCTAATGTATGCACATGTGTAAGTTTTAGAGACACAAAACTCTGAAAAGCCAAATGACAGGAAGTTTCAAGTCTCTGGTTTCCTAGCTAAGGATCCTGTGAGACTTTTGAAAATACCTTTAAAAATGTGCTATCATTTTATTGGGTGATAACGTTTTGACTGAACTGACTTATTCACTGATTAAGAGGATTACACTGTTTCAGCAGATTGTTGATACAAAGTCTGTTTTGTCACCCCTGTCTGCCCAACATCTGAGACACTCTGTGGCACTTAGTAGATATTTAGATTGATACAACAAATTAATAAGAGGACATGTCCCACATTGGGAAGAAATCAGGAAGTAAGGAAAGCCATCCACGCTACATGAGAAAGCCATATATGGGTGTCTAGAAGGAAACAGGAAGAGAAAATTCCAAGCCTGAGCCTAGATCTATCCAAAACCCTTTTCATATTATCTGGAGAGCATTTGGCAAAGCAAATATCCCTACAACCTAAATCAAACAAAATCCATGCAGAAACTACTGACGTTGTTGAGTGTGATAGACTAAATTATGCAACTAAACATGGATCAGACTACACAATCCCAGTTCATTAATTCAACAAACATTTATTCACTGCCTGATAGGTGTAAATATCTCCAGTGAAGGTACAGAGAGAGGTAATAAGATGAACATCATATGATCAATAATAAAAAGAATCAATAACAAAAAAAAATCAATTCATATTAAAATTGAAGTAGAAGTAAAGGTATAAAAAGGAAGGAATAATCAATTCTGTACAGGAGAATTGGAAAAGACTTCACAGGAAAGGGGCATTTGGATGCACCCTAAACAATGAATAGGTTTTCAATAAAATATGTATCTACACCACTTTAAAGTAGCAATTCCCTTATCACCCAGGACAGACAGTGAGATGATCAACCATTTTGAGAATTCAAGGGCAATTACCACATGGCTGAAAAGCAAACCACAAAATTCTAGGAGGCTTAACTCCAGGAAAAAAAGAGACTATTATCTGTTCTTGGTATCTTGAGACAGATACCTACCCCAACAATCACACCCTGAGCCTTGGGGATTGGGGTGGAGGGGAGGAGGGAGAAAAACAGTGAAAGATTCAATCTCAAGGAGTGATTCTGCAGTCCAAGAGTGAAAAGGCTGAGCTTTCTAAAAGGACCTTCCAGGAAGGAAAAGCCTACAGGGGTAATCCAACAATCAGGCCATCTATAGCACCTCTCTTGTTCCCAAAGCCACTCAGCATGGCTACTTGATAATACACACCATACCACCACTGTAACTGCCTATTTCTCCTTCACGATTAATTATTCAATCTCTCTCTCTCTCTCTCTCAACAGCAGGAGCTTTATCTTTTCTGTTTTCAACTCACCCAAAAGAGTGCCTAGCTTAGAAGTGATGAATAAACACAAGAATGCCCCCACCTACACCACTAACACACATACAGATTGCCTCTCACAGGCAGCATATTATGCCAGGTGCCTGAGGCGTTCAAAGCCCTTAAAGACTTTCTAATCTATTTGGGCAGACAGTCCACATGCATAAAGGAATAAACAGTAGAAAATGAAGGGTGCTTACTGCTGATCTAATGCATGGAGAATGAATTGCTGAGGCAGTTTACAAGGTGTGATTAGCCAAGATATCATCCAAAGCAACTGAGAGGAGTATGGGTAGGCCCAGAATGGTCACCCAAAAGACCAATTGGAAATCATCCTGGAGCACTGAAGATCCTACAACAGCTTGGAAAGAGCTTCTCCATGCAGAACTTCATGCATAGCTGCTGTCTGGCCAAAAAAGTAAAATGGACTTGCTCCTCGAGAAGAAAACTAGGCCCAGGAAGACCCAGAGAGCTGCAAATGGCACCACCTAGAGGATAGTTTTCATAAGAGCAGTAAGATCTGATTCTTAATCAGAGCTGTCCACTTGAAAAGGAGCGTTTTCAGGGCCAACTTGTGGAAGATGAAAAACCTGGCAGGAAGCACAGTATCTTCTTCTGAAAGAGAAAATAAATGCCTTCATTATAAGTCCTAAAGATGTTCTAGATGAAACAGTATCTTAGTGACATCTTTCCTCTCCTCGAATCTATTTTGTGCCTAGCCAAGGTTAGTATTATCTGGAAGCCAGGCACTTAACAATTTAATAGGCCACTAGAGACCCACAGACTGGAAAGTCCTAAAAGCTGTCCAGACAGGGGCTATATTTTTATTCATCGTCATGGATGTAATTTATTTAGTTATTTATTTTTTCAGTTCTGGGGCTTGAACTTAGGGCTTCATGCTTGCTAAATAGGCGCTGTACCACTTGAATCACTCCACTAGCCCAAGATAATTTATTTTTAACTTTGTATTGTTTTCACTATATATATGGATGGAATCCAGCGTGATATGTATTAATTGTATATTTTAATGGGGTTTTGTGTGACTTTTTTGTACATGCTTCCCTTTCCTACTTTGCTCTCAGTCATCTCTAGTAATCACTATTCTACTTTCAGGCTGACATTTTTTAGCTTCCACTTGTAAAAGAGAATATTCAGTACCTGTCTTTTCATGTCTGCCTTATCTTGCTTAATGTCATCCAATTCCATCCATTTTTCTGTGAATGACAGGATTTTATTCTTCTTTATTACTGAATTATATCCATCATACATATATCTATATGAGATATTTATATCTCATATATATATACATATACATATATATGTGTGTGTGTATATATATATATCAAATTTTATTTTCTTTCTTTTTCTTTCTCTCACTCTTTCTTTCTTATCTGGGAATTGAACCTAAGGTTTCATGCATGGTAGCCAAGTGCTCTACAACTGAGCTACATCCCCAGCCCTTCTTAATTTTATTTTATTTATTTTTAAGAGAAAGCAAAGATTTATTAGGATGCCATTAAAAGGAAATGGAATGGCAGGCTCAAAGGAGCATAACCTTAATTTGATTTTGAAACAGGGTCTTACTATGTTGCCCAGGCTGACCTTGAACTTGTAATCCTCCTACTTCTGTCTCCCAAGTAGCTGAGATTACAGATGTGCACCACCACATTGGATTTATATGCCACATTTTCTTCATCTGTTGGGAGCTGTTTCTAAGCTGGGTAGATTGCTAAATTTCAGACACAGAAACTCATGTTTGATGAATGGATAAGTCCTAAATTCAAATAGTAAGATATCAGGTCACTCAAAATCCTGGCCCAAATTCTTTTATGAAGGATGTCTTCCTGTCTTCCTGGAATTGCCACAACCAGGAGTCATTTATCCCTCAAGATTCTTTGGCTTTGCTAACTCAAATACCAAGGGTACAAACTGATAGTCTTTGACCTACAGAGATGTTACTTTTTTTTTTTGAGACAGGGTCTCACTCTGTTGGCCAGGTTAACCCTGAACACCTGGGCTCAAGCAGTCTTCCTGCCTCAGCCTCCCAAGTAGGTGGGAGTATAGGCATTTACCACTGTGCCTGGTTAAGTGTTGTTTTTGATTCAATGGTGCTTATTAAAATTTTCCAATTAGCAATCAGAACTTCAACCTGGAGACAGGCAGCATAAAAATCTGGACTTCAGTTTTTAGTCAAAATCTTGAATCCTAGCTATTTAGGAAGCAGAGATCAGGAGGATCATGGTTCAAAGCCAGCCCCAGGTAAATAGCTCAAGAGACCCTATCTTGAAAAACACCATCACAAAAATGGTCTGGCGGACTGGCTCAAGCATTAAGAATGACTGCCCACCAAGTGTGAGGCCCTGAGTTCAAATCCCAATACTGCAAAAAAAAAAAAAAATCTTGAAACCTCAGGCCCATATTGATTCTCAGTAACCCTTCTAGCCAGCTTGGTTTGCGCCCTATTGCTGCCTGTATCTGAACAATT